GGTAGGTACGTAGGTACGGTAGGTTAGGTTACGGTTACGTACGTTACGTTTACGTTCGTACTACGTACCTACGTACCGTACCTCCGACGACACGAGAGAGAGAGAGAGAGAGAGAGAGAGAGAGAGAGAGAGAGAGAGAGCAATATGCCACAGGCAGACTCGCTGTTGGCATAAGAGAAAAGAAAAAAAATCATTCTTGCCTTCAAAGGATTTTTTTTTTGGCATCTAAGAATGGTTTACAAAGCCCGGTAATAGAGGCAATCTACAGATATTTCAAATAGGTAGTATTCTTGCACTTTAACTTTTGAACCTGATGGCATCTTTTGCAGTTTCCTAGAAAGTAAAGATGCTTATACCTGGCTTGAGTTAGATGGTTGGCCCTGATTTCGATGAGGCCTAGCATTCAAATCAATCAATTTCGCATCATGCTTGTCATTGTTAGCATTGCTGTCATATGTTGGAACACGTGGGCCCTGGTGATTGATATTGTTCTCTTTTGGGCCTTCTCGATTCATCATCAAATGAGGCTGCATATTCTGATCCCTCTTGTACTCAACCTTCTCCATTGGTTGCCAAGCATGGTCTTCAATGGGAGTTGGCTTGTCCCCTATAAACTACAAAGAAACAATGCAGGTGTTAATTGGAAGATAATTCGGAGCTCCCCCTCAAAAACCCACATCAAAACCAGCCTTCTCCAGTCACTGAGTCACTAACCTCAACCCTCTGCCTCAACAAAAGATATCTCTCATGCGTTCTTTTGCCCCCAACATGTACAGCCATGTCACATTGCAGGCAGAGAGAACTTCCATCTATTTCGCAGTAAAAGAAAGCTACATCCAATGATCCAATTGAAAAAGATAATATTCAGTTACTTGAATTGAAGAAATAGGAAAAAGAACAAAAAAAATCTGACAATAGGTGGTACTCAGTGTGTACCTGGTGAATTCTCACAAATGTCACACCGAGGGACGTCACTTGGATCAGCAAGTCTCACTCTTACATGTCTACTTGCCAGCTTGTTACACATGTGGACCTGCCATTCCAGTTTCCCAGAAACTATGAAATCATCGTCGATGATGATGTTGAAAGTCTAGGTTGTGTAACTGAACAAAAGAAGAGCTAGTGAAATATAAATAGCAGGATGCTTCCTACTAGAATGAGGTAAAGCAATCATGCTATCAAGGTTTTTCAAAATTTTCAAACAAGGACTATTCGAGATGGGAATGTTAATGAAACATCCAAAAGACGATAAACTCCAACATATATACATTATCTATAGTGCAGGCTTAGAACAATTATCAAGACCAACTAGTTTCTTTATTTCGTTACTCAATAGTCCAACATAACAACGACAAAGACAAGTGAGAAAGCAAAGAACAGACCAGGTGCACTGTGGGGATTGTCATTTCTGAGCGAATCAAAATAGAAGACTAATATCACCTGCTGAAAAACTGAGGACATAGTTGCAAACAATATAAGGATGGTAATGACAATATGGAAAAACTTGAATTTGACATTCCATAACCATGAAACATGCACAACCAGCAAACACATGGCACTGCTAATAATTTATCCCGAACTATACTATTGAAACGGATCATCCACTTGAGACCTAGAGTACAAACCCTCAGAATAAACCATACTAACACCAATGATACAACTGATATAATGCTATGTCCTAAAGAAAGTGTTCTTTGTTTTGTTAATAGGCTTGCAGAAAGTATCTTCCAACATAAGTCTGGGCCCAACCAACAAAACCTTTCTATATTTTTTCTTTTTCTATTTCTTATTACTAGTCAACTCCATGGAATGCCTTCAGAAACCTCACAATCAGCCCTTCCACGATTTACAATCCTAAATCTTTCCAAACAGTTTCTAGTGTTCCTTCAAGTTTATCATGAAGTAACACACAAAGTATAATTATCTCAAATCATATTAACCATCAAAGACAACCAACGGTATATATTTCCCATAATAGCCCTCAAATCTATTCATAGAGAGAATATGATATAGTTTCTGTCATATTCAACCTTCAAGATTATTTTGGATACATCCATCTATAAAAATTTGCTTTCAATGTTTAGGACAATTGAAATTCCATTGAATGGAGAATGGTAAAAAAAAAAGAAGAAAATGTGCTATGCCCCCAACTCTACCCAACTAGCATTTATCACAATACTGAGGTGGCCATTCCATTTCAAATTTCTGCTACCAGACAAGAAGACTGTCTCCAATATTTGACCCTTAATATTCTTCTTTTTCTTTTGAAGCTCAGACTTTTATCAAAGTGCATTATCAGTTCTCATTTGCCATCCTAAATTAGGAGAATAATTGGGTCTCGGGACAATTAAAATCAAAATCAAAATAATATGAATCCCCATGGTACACTTCTTCCCATACTGACAAAGATAGACCCCATGATGAGCCATTGCTATATTTAACAGCTTTCCTAGAGGCCATAAATTTTTCACATTTTCGTTCTGACTAAACTGAGCTTACTTCTCAAAATTGTTGGCAATGAGATTCAAGGAAGAGATAAGTGCATTGGTTAAGTATCAGACCTGGGACCATGTTGATCTACCATTAAGAGAACAGCTGTTGGAACTGGGTATACAATATCAAGAATAAAGTAGATGAATTTCTTTGAAGAACAAAAGGCCTGCTTGGCTGCAAATGGTATTTCACGGTATATATATATATATATATAAACCATTTGTCCTTGTTGCACATATGATTAATTTATAATTCTTTTTTTTTTTCTGGGTAATTCAGTGGGGAAGACAGGCCCCTACTCATTTTTTCAAGTAGAAGTGTTAGTGGTGGGAATAGAAACCACAACGTGGTAACTAGGAGGTGAGGTGCTAACACCACAACCCAAGCCCCTTTCCCATTTATAATTCTTATGTTCAACTAGTTGGCCTTAACCGATGTCTTTATCTATTAGTGCTTCATTTTTTTGACAAAGTATCTGTTAGTGCTTCATTTTGAGTTCTCATCAATTTGAGCAAGGCAATGTACTTTGAACTCTTTCCCATCATTTTGTAGACCACCCCAGGCAACCATCATGACCATTTACAGCCACTGCCCCATTGCTTTTTGACTACTAAATATGGTTACCCGGGTTAATAGATTCTCTTCACAATTGCTATATGGTTGATAGAAGAATTAAAGAAGGTTTTCAATACAAATTTTGTGGTCTATTTTAGTTCTTATGGTATACGAATTATAAATGCATAAACGCTAACCACCCCATACAGCTCACAGTTAATGAACTGAAAGTGTTGTAGCTGTATAAGTGATTTACCAAGATAACTATGCAATAGAGATTTGCTAACACCCGATATCAACTGAGTTGTTTGATTGTCTATAAAAGAGCGAGACATACACCCAAATGGGTAAATCATAAAACTATATGTATGTGATCTAAATGCATACATACAGTAATTACTATGTGTATATGTATATAAATGCTTGTATAGTAATTTTCCACAGAGTAATTGCGGGAGGTAAAAATACATAAACTTAAATGTATATGAACAAATATAAATAAATAAAATATGCACACACACACACTGACACAAGCATGCACACACGCACACATAAAAACAAAGAAACATATCAAACTATCAAAGTTTATATACTGAAGGAAAGAAACTCAAATCACAAATAACACCAGTGTTATCAGGACTAGACTGGCCAGCTGAAATCCATTGGACCAATGGTTGGACGGGTATGACCATTTTAAAAAAGGTCTGTCTATAGAAGTCAGAGAATTAATTAATAAAAATATAAATAAGACCAATGGTTAGATGGGTATGACCATTTTAAAAAAGGTCTGTATATAGAAGTCAGAGAATTAATTAATAAAAATATAAGTAAGGAAAAATAGGTAAAAACACTAAACCAAGGTCGGGGTTTGACCAAAATTCAGAAAAATATGAAAATATTACGTCGCATGATATAGAGTAGAGAGAACTTACGCATTAAAAAATAAAAGAATAAATAAAAAATCATAAAGAAGGAAAAATAATTGAAAAAATAAAAATCGGGTTAGAAAGGGGGAAATTTGGCCAAAAATTCAGGAAAAGATAAAAATATTGGGAGATATAGTAGAGAGAAAAACAAGGTATTCTGGCATAAACTCATTCTAAATATGGTAGGTGGGTATGATAAAAGGTGAAGACAGAGAAGAAGCAAAAAAACACTGGAAAGATCCACCTAAACTAGGTTGAAAAGTCCAATTTATGGGCCAGAAAAGGGCTCATCAAATTGGCAAAAGAAAAGCACTTGGTCAGCTAAGTCTGACTGGTCACCTGACGGTTTTGACAAGTATTCAGTTTGATTATCGGACTGGACCAGCCAAGGGACTGGTCCGTAGTTCGACTGGTTAGACCGGTCGGTCCAATCCATGCTTAAGAACAATGAATAACACTACAAGAAAAACATTAGTTTTAAGTAGGAAAGTCCATGCATACGCTCGCTTGCACTTCCAAGCCCATACCCACATTAATGACCACAAACGTGCACTGAAGCACTTGCATTCACCTCCTAATGCCCATCTGTGAGTACATATGTTCACCAAACCATATGAATATGCAATTACAAGTGAGACCAACTATCTTCTCCAGCTGGGTCCTTCAATAACTACAAGATAAGTTCCATCATTGACACCTCCATAGCTGCTCCAACATATTCTTTAATGGCATCACTGATAATTTAGTGTCCCAATAAAGTTAATCTTGATAATGAATTTTCTGTTGTTTGGCAGTGTGCATTAATAACTTATTTGAGATAAACTTCTATGCAGTTCTAAATATATCTTTTCGAAAAGCTGTTTTTACTTTATTCCAAGTAATTTGCTGAAAACCACATGTTTTTAGCCAAAAATAACTAAAAAATACGTTAAATTGCCAAAAAAAATTAAATATATGTACCTAACAACAAGAGAACAATGTTATCCAGAGTATTTTAATCTCAAATAAAATAGCCTATTCCAGATAAAATTAATTGTCATCCAAACAGACCCTAAGCTTTCTTTTACATACAAATGAGCAGATCTAAGAGTAATCTTGTTCACCCCAAGCCCTAGAAATCCTAGTGCAAGTTATTGATGTATATTATGCGAGCCAGTAGATCAAAGTTTAGCTTGGGTATCCATGCTTGAGTTGTACACATCAAGTGCAGATCATCTCATTGATTGATCCCCATAGTACATGAATGAAGTCCAAGACATTATGCATATGCCATGAATGTCTATATGCATTTAGATGTGCATATATATTTTGCTAATAAATAGGCAGATTTCCAAACCTGTGAGCCGGAACACAGAGTTATGTGTGTAAAAAGAGCTTCAATGAAGAATTCAGTAAGTCTTGAAGTGGGGAAAAATAGATGCCAAAGCAGCTAGCCTCTATTTTGCTAAAAATATGGACCTGATTTCAAGCATAATTAAAATGAAGCGTCTATTGAGTTATGTAGTTGGACACAACTAGCATAGTCACTGATTATCACAGAAAAGTATTTTCATAGTGATTTTAGCCTGCAAAAGGAGCATTCAAATCAATTAGCCGAAGCAATTTGCAAACTATTAGCCTATCAATATAATCTGAGAGTCTCAAATGAGATCCATTACAGTTTTGAATTTAATAACTAAACAGTATGTATCAAGAATCAAGAACACCTGAAAGGTTGCAAATGATTCAAATAGAGCAAGTGTCCTCCAAACCATTCAGGTCAACAAACTGCAACCTTTTTCTCCTGGTTTATCAGACCTTCAAATTCCGATCGAAATGACCGGACTATAAATGAAAATTCATCACAGCTCTGAACATTGAAACAACAATGAAATTGACCCAAAGCCAGGACCTAACGATGAGGAAATTAAGCAACTGATCAATAAAAGAGAAGATGGTTGTGATCACCACCATTATGACGATCACAACCAGAGAGAGAGAGAGAGAGAGACTAGTTGATAGAGAAAAGAAGTACCTTGTTGTCACAGGCCCGACAGAGAGCAGCCTCGTCCGCAGCACAAAAGAAGATGGCAGGAGCGCCTTCGCAAGCATCACAAAGGGTTCGCATAATTCCCGACTCCGCCGCCCGTCATTTCTCCCTCTTCCAAGCCTCCATCATCACCAATTCACACAGCCCCCAAAACTCCCACTAAAAAAAAATCAGAACAAAGTAGTAGGGGAGGAGGAAGACCAAGAGGAGAAAACAAAAAGAAAGGGAAAGATCAAACAAAACCCTAGTTATCTGTTCATGTCGTCAAACTACAGAAAAGAAAAGAAGAAGAAAAAGGTGATCTAACAGGCGAATTTGTATCTGAGTGGGGGAGGGAGGATGAATTTATAAGTGCAAGAAAAGAAAAGAAAAGAGGTCAGGTCTCAGATTAATTTATAAATGGAGAAAGAGAGAGAGAGAGAGAGAGAGAAGGGAAAAGGCGAGGTTGCAA